ATTCGTTTCATAATTAATAACGTTTGCTGAACTTGAGTTGCTAAAACTTTGCTCACTTATTTCTGTGCGTATATATATATATATATTATTAAACACTTATTCGTCTAACACGTACAGATCACGCAGGATACAGTTGAAGTAAAGTTTCGTCTTGATTACAATTTTATTGGCTAGTAACACATGACCAGAGTAACTTCTTACTAAAATAATAATTACGACGAGAGACGACAATTAAAGGTAAAATGCTGATTGACGCTTGATAAGTGATGAACACTGACATATGCCCTATATCAGTTAACGGTGTTTTACGTGAATTTTTATGAAGTTGCGTGAAAAAAAAAACAATACTTTACCGATCCTAATAATTATACTTGGCATTTTAAGTTTTCGTTGAAAACCCTTAATTAATGTCTATCAAAGCGCTTTTTAAAAATTGAACTACTTTTAAAAACAGACGTAATTACGTTTACGGTAATAGTGTATATATATATATACATATATATATATACTTAAATAATTTCTTATAGCTATAAAAAAGAATTAATTTTTACTATAACAAATTTTCAATTAAAAAAAAAAATAGTTTTAGATTTTTAAAAACTCTTGCGTAATATAATAAACAACGTATAATTATGAATATAATATTACAGTAGGTACGAAAAAATACTAAATAACATAATGTAAATTAGATATTTTCTTACGACGTTTGAAGTATTATTGATGATCTTTCAATTATTACTAGACACTATCTACCTATTAATTAATTACTTGGAATTTTGTAAAACAGAAGTAAACTTAATTAATTAATTGTAAAAGCACGTCTAACCCAACGGGTTGTTTACTGTTAGTATTATATGTCATTATGTTAACTCATTTATAGTATAACTTGGTTAACCCAATCACCGAAGTTTTTTAATAATATGTATCGCTATGCATTATAAACGTTATGATATTAACGATAATGACGGTGATGCGACGTTAATAGATAATTACGTTTATTCCAATCCACCAAATAAAACACTTAAAACGTAAGTATTTTTTCTTGAAAGTATTATGTACTGCTCAAATCACAATACTATATTTTCGTAACTGTAAACTAACTTACGTCGTTTAATTAATATGTGACTACTTATATTTTAGAGTTATTATAAATTATTATTAGTAGATTCAAGGTCGTGTAATTTAATATATGTTTATATCTATGTACAGGTAATTATTTTGTATAAGTTTATGTTACTGAACTCCTAAACAGCTGGTCCGATTTTGATGAAATATTTTTTATAAGTAAGTAGAGCCTTGGGTGGTTTAAATTCGCAATTGGGTCCAGTGGGTGACGCCGCAATTAGGCTCTAAGAAATGTTGATATGGGTATGTCTTAATTATATAACACATATCATGTATATCTTAAACGACAATGATCTCGAGAAGCACTCGTCCGATCATCATGTGTTTTTTTAAGCGAAAGAACATACTACGGAGCAGGTTTTAATCATATTTTTAAGAACCCAAATCCCAACATCTATCCACAGAATATTAAATGATAACATATGAATATATCAGTAGCACCGTCTGTCTAGAACAGTAAATATTGAATACAAAAAATGATAAAACTTTTTCCTTTGAAAAATAAAGCTCAATACAACTATAAGAATTGTCAATATTGTATTAATTGATTATAAAAATATATCTAAAAAAAATAATGATTTATCATTGAATTGATAGAAAACCGAAATACAACGATGTAATAATAATCATTTCTTGATTTACAGAAATAAATTCTAATAAAATATAATGGCAGTATATGTACGTATACATATATCTAACAAGTAACACTATATTAGTAATATATAAAAATATAGATAGAAAGATGTATATAAATATTAGATAAGAGATAAGTTTAAAATTATAATATGTAGCACCATTCGTTCGTTTAGATGGAAAAGGCTTTAAGTTAATTTACGATTCTATAAGTTAATTAACAATCAAGTAATTAATTTTTAAAATAATCCACAAATACGTATAAAGCATAAAAAGAACGCTGAATCCTCTGTGAACGGCGGGTTAAAATAATGGATTGAACGAAGTTTGAACTACATAAGAAGCGTAAATCTTATAAGCAACGAAGTTCACGATAATAACTGCTGCTAATACAATGCTAACTGCCGTGTAATCTCAGAAAACAATTTATGCTACTTATTATAAAAACAAATAATATAGTTTACTAATAAATATTAGAAAATTGATAGAAATTTTGGAGAATAATTTAAAAAAATGTAGTCTGACACCGGTTATCCAAACGAAAAAGTTTTAAAAAAATACTACCTTTCAATAGTTAAAAAAATTTACATAGCCAATGCCAGATAAGACAGCTATTTTAAGTTGATTTTTTGAAAATATAATCTGTACATTAAATTATAAAATCAAAAATATTTTTTATCCATACATATTATGCTTAATGTTAGTATGATGCAACCAATAGACCATAACTAATTATTTTTATTTTATTAATTTATTATTGTTTATCATTCATATTTATTTATTTTTTTTTTTTTTTATGACCGAATAAGACATTTTTAAAAATTAAAAATATTACTGAAATTTATAATAAAAACAATGACAACAAATTTATTTTAAATTGGTGACATTTCTAAAATTTCTATTTGCATTTTTAGTTATAAGCAAACCTATTGCAATTAGTAATTTACAGATTACTTTATTATGTATTGAACAAGTATAGTCCGACAAACTTTAAAATACTGAATACTTAAAATACATAATTATCAAATAAATAATATTATATGAAATAAAATACTCTGTATATATTCATTCAATAATATAAAGATAAACTAATATTTTATTAGATAATATTAGAATTACTATCTTATTATTTACTGCATTTTTATTTTCACACGATGTACCTATATGCTAGTTAGCTTGTGAGCCCCTTTAGGCTTAATCTTAAAAATTTTTTTGAATAATATCTGACGAATAAACTCAGATCAAATAATATAGGAACGACTTTCCACAGAATTTAATATTTATATCATTTTTTCATGTACGTTTGTTATATTATACTGAGAAATGGTCTACCCGGCCACTCTATATATTATATGAAATACAAATAATAATAATAATAATAATAAATTATCAAAGTTTCAAGCGGATGTAATAATACACGGTTTGAACCAATGTTCTTAGGCCGCGACTGCCGTAAGGTAAACTTCCTTTATCCTTAATAATATTACAGTTGTGTACTGACTTATTTAAAATTATAATTTCGATGTTTTTTCTCTCCGAATGTAATAAAATCAAACAAGTTTATCTACTTTATTTTTACTGCGTTATAGTTAACGTGATTATTATTTTAACATATAAAATTTCATTATAATTCTATAACATTAAGTAGATGCCCGTATATTAGGTTTGATATTCTCTACGATATAGTCAACTTGTGGTATAACGAATTCCAAGGTTATCGATAAAAAAAGGTTGTTATATCGAGAGTGTATTACAACATGATATTTTCAAAAAAACAACAGTTTTATTCGCTATAACTTATAAATATTTATAACCTATACCGTGATTTTTGATATAATTTGAAGTAACAGTGTAATTATTTTTGAAAATGTAAGTATGTGTGTGAAATAAGGATAGTCATTTTTTCGTAATATAGTCTATTACTATAGATGTACTTGTAATTTTTATTAGATATTACGTATTAAAATAATATATTAAATATTAATAGATTGCAGTTAATAATCTAAATATAAAAAAAAACAAATATGTATTTTAACGTTAATTTTATATTTTCAGTATGTATTAAGTCAATATTTAGCTATTATTACTTTTAATTAAAAAAAATACACAGTCCGATTAAAAAAATAAATCCTTTTATTTTGTCAGGCTAATAAATAATGTACGATAGTCTTTCTGTCATGCATAATACATATCACTAAGTACTATTATATTATGTTATACATTTATGATCACATTTTATCTACTCGTCACTCATGTACAGCATATAAACAACAGGAATATTGACTGATATAGACGTAGGTATAGTAAATAATATAGAAATTATCATTAAGTGTATGCAAAATTGTTAGTATTTCATAAACACATTTTTTAAGATATGTTGCTTATATTAAATGCCATGTTAAATCATACTTACCTACTTCACTAACATATATTTAAAATGCATTATATTAACTCATATAATGTTATACCAGTAACAAATGTGAAGTAGTTCGTAGTTTTGACTTTGGACTTTACAATACAGAAATTCTCAAGAATCCATGAAATTCTGTATTTACCTAAAAGTAAATGGTAATATGAACTGTCAATTGTATGATTTATTAATTTTCCAAACAGCAAATAACAAACCGGTATTAATTATTTTAATACATCTGCAGAGTGATCTGGTTCTATATTTACAATTAATTTTGTACATCAGCAATATTAGTTTAAATTGATTTTAAATTTTTCAAAAAATGTTTCCTCACATCCTATTTAAAAAGTTATTGATATTGTATATTATATTATACAAACAGCATTGTCTTGAAGTATTTTATTTTGATTGAGATATCAATTAATATTTAAAAATACTTAATTGTAGTTTAATTTTCATTGATGAGTCCAATCAGCAAACACATAAAAAAGCATGTAAACAGAGGTATGCGTCATAATATTGTAATTTATAACTACGGAAATAACATAAATATATCTGAAATTGAACGTCACAATTCATAATTACACAAAGTTTAAGATCAAAGCTTTTAGTTAGACTTAATACAAAAATAGTATACAAATAAAATAAGAATAAATAAAAAAAAAAATTATAAAATAACATTTTATAATTTTTGCATCTTTATGGTTTATTATAGAAACATATAATATGCATATTAGATATACAATAATATCACATAACAATTAATAATTAATACGAATTAAAATTAACATCAAACATTGACTGAATGTCGTCTGAACATAACAAAACTATACTTCTTGAAAAATCTATCAGTAAATGGCGTCTAGATTGAGAACAATATTGTGTAATATTTTTTTTTAATATTATATATATATAGGTATATTTTCGTATTTTAAAATCCACTTGTAACAAATTTCTGTTTACGTGTGAAAATAATGTATTCATGAATTAAATGTGAGTATTGCGAGAACAATGAGATTATTTATTATTTATGTGTTGCAGGTATAATAAGCTGCTAGTACACAAATAATATTATAGAGAGAGAGCGACCGCAACGACACTCAACGGAGCGTTCTGTATAGCGGGTAAAAACGTAAAAAGCACGGTAATATTTATATTTTATAAGTACTTATAATAAAGGAAATAATATTATATATACGTGTGTGTGTGTGTGTATAAAAGTATATACAAAACAATAAAAAATATATTCTCAATGAATAACTGATATTAAACGATACAAAATGACAATAATGATTTCGTATTTACGCAATACACGAGAAGAACGTCTATACAAAATAATATTATGTTATATAGGTATCGTGTAAAATATTTTAAATTTATTATGAATGTATAACGATAAAATGATTCGATGCAGCGGTACACAGGTACTACTTTATAGTACGTATACACAATTCGATACAATAAATTATTATTTTACGCGTCTTCACTCTTTAAGTACCTAGTCGTAGTAGTACGCCAACCGCGGGTTAAATCGGACGCCCCTGTTGTCTGTACTTATGGCCAGGAAACTTTTTATGATCACTATGGCCGTTGTCGTTGATGATGTTGTTGCTGCTGTAGTGGTTATACTGACCTCCGGGTTGCACTTTTCCGTTCACATCCACAAGCTCCACGTCGGGCGGTAACACTACGCCGCCGGACGACTGCTGTTGAGCAGCGGCAATCTCGTTAACCAAGGTATCGCTGTGCAAGCTGATAGGTGGATGAGACGGACGAGATCCGTGGACTGGGGATGGATGAGACGGATGATATCCATGGTCTGGGGATGGATGAGACGGATGAGATCCTTGATTTTGGGCCGGGTAAAATACTTGGTTCTGGGCCGGATAAAATCCTTGATTCTGGGCCGGGTAAAATCCTTGGTTCTGGGCAGGGTAAAATCCTTGGTTCTGGGCCGGATAAAATCCTTGATTCGGAGATGGATAAAACCCTTGATTGGGTGTCGGGTAAAATCCTTGGTTGGGTGCCGGATAAAATCCTTGGTTCGGTGTCGGATATGATCCGTGGTACTGTTTCTGCTGCAAATGGCCGGTCGGCGGCTGACGCATCCCGTACAATGGAGCGTATGGTGCGTAGTAAGTGGCTGCAGCGGTCTGGAAGTGATCGTCCAGTGATATGGGCTCGGATGACTGCGAGAGAAAAAAAAATATTAGATGTGATCATCGTTTTATATTAAACTACGTGACGTGATCTGTTAGTAAATGAAACGTACTTAAACAATACACACGACTATTCAAAATTATCAGGTAAATTATTATGTTATGATTGTTAATTCAATTATATAATATTATCATGTATTAATGTGTAAATCTGCGTGTTATTGTAATTAATATAATACAGTTAAACAGTATGATTGTTGACTAAAACAATATTGATATAATCATTCATAAAATACCTACATGTCTATTATAAACGTATATTATTACAATTTACAACTTATTTACATAATAATAAATTATAAGTATATTATTATTAATTATTATCGAGTGAAAATAATATATTTTGACAACTATATTATATTATTTTATAATAGTGAAAGGATTTATTAAACCAAGGAATATGTAATTTTGAACTTCACGTTTATACCTATTTACTTTTTGATGTTTTTATCATTTTAATTTGAATACATTGGTTCTTAAGCCCTCAGTACGTGTATATACAGCGGTTGTCATACCAATTCGGTTTCGATAAGCGAATAGGCAAAATTGCATAAAGGCATAAGCCACATGCGATCGGTTCAAAAGATAGAAATAAAACAGATACGTACCTGTGTGTTCGACAGTTATTCCAATCGATGGATCAGGAGCAGCAGCTCAAACCCAACCGTTACTATTTACAATCGTTTTACTTTGTAACTCCACGGGACGCGTTTGTTTTGCATTTTCTCTTTTTCGAATACTTGTTTCCCCACGACGTGGCGTTTCAACTCAATTTTTGTACCTGACAGGTTTGGTCGCGCGATTCAATACTATTATAATAATAATATACACGTGCATGGTTTAAATCGTACACGGCGTTATCAAAAAATCGCGATAAAGCTGTTTCACCATAATATTATAATGATCTGAAGCGTTAAAACATTTCAAAATTCGCTTTTGCGATATGGCTTGTACAATAAACTGCAATATTAAAATTTTATGTCGCAAAAAGCAAAAAAAAATAAATAACCTGCCACAATCATAATGATTATTGTTCATTATGATTTATGGAAATCAAAATAATAATAACAATTAGGTAAATATAAATAATTGCTAACACCAATTTGACTAATTACGACTACGTATAATACATTTCACAATTTGAACCGATCAAAATAAAAGCAGCAAATTATTATATACACACGTTGAATTGTTTTTATATACTTAAAACACTTTGAAATGGCGTAACAAATAAAAACTCGAGTTATTCAAGGTGGTAAATCCTAAAATTTTTTATTTAAACAAGTTAAAATAAATATAATACTAAGCTATACTTTAAAATGAAATACAAAACTAATTTTTCTTTATAAAAATAATCACTAAGCAGACTATTACAGGTATCATGAGACTTTTGATAAAATTATATTTTTTATTACAAAAAAATAATGATTACAACAATACAAGTATAACTATTCGAGAATATTATGGCAAATATTATTTATTCCAATGAACCGTTTTCAATGAAAAAAAATAAATATAAATTTAATATTAAACAGGTGTAATAATATATTTTGATTTTATGATTTTTGTCACATTTTGATTTTTATATAATACCTAATTATTAAATAAATAATAAAATGAAAATATTCAGCTGTGCTGAAGTCAATGACGTTAATAATAATAATAACAATATCTATAAAAAAATAATAAATAACCACACAAGTATATTTTGACGATCGAATACCGGGGAAGATATTTATAATCAATATTGTTAATAATACTTTATATTGAATTGTTTCGTCTTTTTTTTTTTGTTTTGATAAAAACAACTATTATAATATCTTAACATTATATTATATCAGGATTGTTATTAATGTTTGGGAAAGTAACTTATACAAGCGTTAGGTATATTAATACAATCCGTCGTTACGACAAATTGGTCTTTAGGTTATTAAAAAACTATAATAGCTGATATTAATACGTGTACAAGAAGCTGCTGCTATCTCGTTATTCTACCTTTTTAACAAAGTTCTTCCGGTCATCGTTAACTTTAGCCTGAATTGAACCGGACGGGTTGGGTTTGATTTCGTTCGTCTCCACTTTTTCTGTCTCCGAATCATCATTAGTTATCGATATCAGTTTTTCATTGGAGATTTTTTTGTTTGTTTCTTCGGGCAACACTTGGATTTCTTTGAAATGGTAGAAACTCTTGTGATTTGCATCTCCGTTAGTGACTGTCGTTTCGTTTATTTGGACTTTGTGTCCATCAATGATCTATATGAACATACACAACAACAACAAAATTATCATAGTTAATTTACGAGTACACAAGTCCACAATAAATAATATTAAATTTGAAAAGCAATATTTAAAGGGACACAGTAAATAGCATTTATTTCAGATACCCACTCAAAAATGAAATGAATAGATAAGTTTTACCTAGTTTCACTATTGAGCTTTAGGAGTTTTGTCCACAAATTCGAAATAGTAACGAATTCCAAATATTCCGTCTCGATGCGAATTAATATACAAATATGCGAAACGCATGACAATTCGTTATACGTTATTAGTATAAATAACTATTTATTTATAAATTCCAAATAATAAAACAAAATATGTACACGAAATTTTTAGCATGAATATTTCAATATCATAAAATATTGAAGACGTCTAAGACGTAATACGTGTTCGGGTAACTCACAGTAAGTAAAATATGCACCGAGTATATGTAGTATTTATAATAAAATTATTTTATAGTCAACTGTACAGAAATATTGATCGTTAGCATCGTCAAAGCCTACAACAGTCTCTTACTGCAGTACTTCAGTAAAAATAATAAGGACAACGCACGTTGAAATTTATAATACAACTCTATAATTTAATACAGAGAATATAAAGCATTAGATATGCGCATAAAACATAACTGATTTGCTATAGAAATGAACATCACGTAAAGACTTGTAAATGCAGAAACGTGTACAGAATCAAATAAGAATTAGCAGTAAAAATGATTTTTTTTTTTTTATACTATTATTTTGTATTTGCAACATATTATTAAATAAAAATTTCATAATTTGGTTTTTAAATTTTTTAAACAATTTATATATATTCTGAAATTATTTTCTACGTCGTTAAGCAATTTTAAAATCAATATCATAAGATTCAATTACTTAACTTATAATCTACTTATATAATATATGATTATATTATGAATTATGACTTATGACTTATGAGTGTTAAGACTGATCAACAGAATATATAATATATTTTATACATGATACGTATAAATATTAAGCCATGGATCGTAAATTATGAAAAATTCTATGCATTTTAAGTTTGAATCAAATTTAAAACAGAATCGTTGTAATTATTTAAGTTTTCAAACACCACAAATTCAAAACTGTCGGCTAACCTTGTTTTATTATTATTGTTATTTATATAAGATTAGCAACTTTGGCAAATTAATTCTATACATTGCATTCAGTTTTCAACTAATTAACGAATACAAATTATTCGATTAAAAATTATTTGTGAAGTGAATTGTCTCTTTTACCTCAGTCTTGGACGTAGTTTTCCTCACGGGCTTGTCTGATCCTTCCTGAGCGTCACCCAAGTTATCCATTGGTGGAATTCCCATTTTGTCAAAAGATGCCAACATGTCTAAAATTAAAATTTTAAAAACACAAACTTAAAATAATATAACACAAATAACTTTAATTATTATTTATTAGTATTAGTATTTAGTATAGACTAGTCGTACTAATCGAAATTTATAACATATAGGTATTTATGATAAATGATAATAAATAAAAGTTGCAAATTTAATGCATTTAATGTTTGTTTACAATATGATTTTCTCATCGATAGTCATTTTCTCGATAAATTTATGTTTTTTTTTTCAAATTTAACATTATTTAAGTATCACAAACATTTTTAAAAACAAAATATATTTTTTAATGCAATTTTATTCTTGAAATTTTTTTTTAATGTGTCAGACAATATTTAATAAAAAATATTATTTTTAAAAGTATATAACACATTTATTAATGCTGACTATTAACTATTTTCTGATGAAACATAATCATTTGGTATACCTATAAATTATAATAAAATACGTCACGCAACATTTACCTGACGGCTCATGATGCCGAAAAGCATTAAGCATGATGTTCATTAGCAACGGAATGGGTGGCATTGCGGTTGTATTAAGTCGGATATTTCTTTTCGGTTTTAATATTATGACTTCGGGCGCTGTGAACGAAGCGGTTAATATAGGTTAGTATTTGTTAAGCGAATGATTAAATGGTTATGGGAAGTAGTGTTAACAATGTGGCGATATCAAAATAGCCTTTTATAATATAATGTTGATGTTTTTCTCGTGTTAACAATATATTGTTGTTATTATTATACATCGTCAATATAGGCGCCAAGTTATTCGGTAAAGGGGGTGGTTTAGATGCTACAAGCAACCAGCCAGGATAAATGCATCTAAAATATTGTATGTTTGTACAATATTCTCGAATTTTGAACCGATAAGAAATAGAATATATATCACAGATAAACATTTTGTTTTGTTTTTTTAGAAAATTGGTTCAATAAATTAACATAATTATATTTATGTGTGTTTATACAACTTAACGCATATATTGATGATGATATTTTATTAAGTATACATGCATACGATACATATTAGATGTCATCATATTTTGTAACTATTATTATTGTGTTATCGTGATTTTTAACATGACTTTGTGTTAAATTGCATTTAGATTAAATAAAAATACGAATTATTAGCGGAACGTACTTCTAAACTCGTTGGTGTATGCTTCAACCATCTGGTTGAAAGGTTGGGCATTAATGGGATTTGCGAATGGATCGATGGGAGCACCAAAAGGTATCGGTTGGTGTCTAGACGGTTTATCTTTGTTGGAAGCGTAAGGATGGAATGGCTGGAAAGGCTGGAAAGGTTGGAAAGGTTGGAAAGGCTGTATCAGTTCCAAAAAGAACGGAATACTAGGTCCTATTTTCACAGTATGCACGCCACCCGTGTAATATGGTCTGGATGGTTGTCCGTGGACAGGGCCAGATGAGCTGGGTTTAGCGTCGAAATTGGAAGGGAACGTTTCGGGAACGGAGCTGGGGGAGCTGGTTTCGGGAACGGGGCTAGGCGAGTTTGTTCCGGTGATGCTTTCTGTTTGTTCAGCGGTGGCTGTCGTCGAAACATCGGATTCGGATTTGGCATTAGAAATTTCTGGTGAACCTGTATTGGTTCCAATCACTGGAATTTCTGATCCAACTGTTACTTCTTCCGATTGATTGGGCTGCTGAACATCCGGAAATGATTCATCCCGGTCCGTTTGAAAAACTGACGCGTCCGTTCCCTTCGTTTGTTGCTCAGTCTCCTTCTTCTGGACCTCCGCCGATGTGGCTTCAATGTCGAAGTTTTCCTTCAAGTTAGCTGAAAATTAAACCAAAATACTATAAATTAATGACCAATTAAATTAAAAATAAGCTTATTATATCATTTAATTTCGTATAAGGTTAGATCAACTTTTATTATCTTATATACTTCAATCATCAGTGATGATTCATCACTATATACAAATGGTAAATACCACAAAATTAAATATGTAGTTTGTAGGACTAACATCAATGTTATACATTATAAACATACAAAATATAAGGTATTTCTGTGGGGTTTACTCTGTAATCAACAAAAATCCACTTTTGAATATATTTTGACGTAATCATAACTCACATTAAACTAAGCCAATCGTATAAACTGTAAACATAAAACTGGTATTATCAACTATTGTATATACTGAATAATATACGTGAGTAAAATTTCACTCTATTTAAAACAAACATAATACAAAAAAAAAAAAGATATTAAAAAAAAAAAAAATTTATTATCAAAACTTTATCATATTATGGCTTTTATGTTAATTCTTGATTTTAAAATTTTACACAACGTTATTTGTATAATAATTTATTCGTTGATCACACGATATTTATTCAACGTTTATAGAATCCGACACTATACGATTCAAAAACGTAATACGTCATCTCTTTGGCACTAAACGTTATTCAAACTGACCACACCGGATGAACGGCACGTGTGTTGAATACCAATAAGTATTATAATAATGTTATTATTATAATTAGCTTCAGACGAGCGCGTATGACATGACAAAACTTTAATCGCAAAACGTATAATTAATCTGTACACCATTATATCGCGCTGTGTTAATCACAAAAAATGCACGCATCAAGTAAAATCTGTTATTACAGCGATAGTTATTTAAATCAGTGTAATATTTATATATTATACGATCATCATAAGTGATTTAGTACTTAGGGTATAAGTATAAAAGCTCCCATTATTAATTTAATAACCACAGCTATTATCTACACAAATGTAAATATTGTAACACTATACCCGATATGTTTAAAAATAAGTGCAAACAACTATAAACAGTGTGAACACATAGTGCTAACTCTACAAAAATAAATTGAATAAAAATATATGATGATCAGAAAATATTATAGAAATATTATAGATATGTAAAGTTAATAAATTTTTACTTATTTTTACGAGTCAATATTCAAATTAGTTTATGTATAAATGATATATTATATTAATATATTAACATTTTATGTAGAAACTCTTATAAAATTTAGTGACTTTTTATATCAAGTAGGTAATCTCACTATATATTATCAAATTATTACATACTTTATTGTTGTACCCTAGGGATTGTATAAATCTTTAAAAAAAAAATAAAAAATATTTCATATTTTATAATAATGGGCTGAGTAATACATGACTAAATATTGTATATATCACTTTTATATAAAAACATTACCAATGTAAATTATTCTTAGTACCTACATTAATTTTAAAACTCTGGATCTAATCGTTCAAATTTTGATTTAGTACATCGTACATCAACACTTATAAAAAAAAAAAACGTAGTTCTCATTTGAAAACGTCATCAAAAAGCCTTTCGTTAAATGTTTTAAAATAACTAAATATGATCATAAGTATAAAATTTAATCTTAATAGAAAATGTTTTAATAAAAGATAAATAATGGAAGAGAGAGGAATTCCGTAGTTAGTGAATCATCTTGTACGTGTATTAGTAATCGTTTTCCATTTCAATTTCAAATACTATACAACGTGCAATGATTATTGAGTATTAATAATGAACAAAATAATACTACATAATATCATGTTAAAATAAGTCAATAATCTCTCACGTGTGTTGTTCTGCTCGTCTCTCAATTGAAATACCATGATATTACTTTTTTGTATACCTCTCATTTCGTCACGATTCAACTCCGTAAAACATTATACAACATTTTGTGTACTATAGCTCACTATTATTATGGTTTATAATATTATTATTTTAATTTATATTTATTGAAAACCATGAGATTAAAAAAAAAAAAAATACCATGATTTCACGGTACCATGTTAAGATTATTGAACTTTATAAGTCATGCAATTTTTTCTGCTTCCCAAAATAGTTTTTACATTTTCCTGTAACTCAATAATTAAACTGTAATTTTGTAATAACGAAAATAAAGTATTTTTGCTTTAATTTGCGTGTACAGTGTACATATAATACTACTATGAATGATTGGTAGAGTAAAGAAATGCATAGCGCTGACTTGCCTATGATGATAATAATTTACAGATCTCATGTTATTATAATATTTTATTTGACAATACATTATAATTAGATATCATGGAACAAGTGAAGGCCAATGAAGTTATGCGATTAACTTTATACTATAATGTAAACAATATGCAGGTTCGTGTTAAAAGATCCATCAGACCATCATATTGTTTTGTAACCTTCGAATCCGTGATTAAACAATATATTATAATAAAGTACAAAAAAAAAAATAAAAATAAAACAGCATAATATTACGGAAAAAAATATTTTGAATTTAGTCATTATAATTTTTTATCACATCAATAACATTATAAAACAATTTATTAAAAACTCTGTTTAATCATTCAAATTTGTAGTATAAACGGTATTATGGTGAAATGTATGATGAACATATTCTAACCAGGAAAAAACTGAACATCCCACAATTTACTCACCGGTTCGAAATTAACAAAACTACTCATATTAGATACATAATTTATTATCATTTATCATAATATAGATAAGTATATAAAATTTATTGTCTAAGAAATTACAGCTAAGATGGCATTTAATTATTATCTCTCCAACTGAGAGGAAATATATTTTTTCAGCCAATTAAAGTAATGATAAATATTTATTTCAAGGATAAATATCATATAGATACTTTCAAGCTATTTATTTTAACAATACCTACATTATACCAATAGTAATTTCATTATTTTACCAGTTTTTGTAAAATAATTGCTCTTGCCGCAATGATTTCGCAAACGTTTTAACAGTCAGTGTGTATACCACAACGCAAAATCAACACAAAAAATATATGTAAGAAATGAAAAGAATTGTTTTTTATAAATTATGCATTTATGCAACCAAAAATATGTGTTGCAGTAAAGAATAAATATAATAAAAATTAAATTAAAAAAAAACAATGACGATGACTATGCTTGAAAATAAATATTTTTATAGTAATTTCCAGTCAACGATTTTTATTGATTTCTAGAACATAAACAAATTAAAGCTCTCAGTGGTGCATATTATACTAAACAATCATATTATCTACCTAGAGTTGAAAGTACATAAAAAAAAAATATTAGAGTACACAAATCTTATACATTTTTAAATAGAAAAGTTGATTTTATCATATACCTATCTAAGTACATATATATTGCATGTAAAATACTTAGTACATAAACAATTAAAATTATAGAGCCCGCATAAAATATAAATAATTTTGAAATAATGTTGAACAAAAAAATTTTCTTTTATACACTGAGATATTAAGTAAATAAAAATCTTACAATTTTGCTATCTAGGGTATATACAAAATATACATAGCAGCGAACTCTTATACCATTCTATCTTTCATTCGTCATCGTAATCAGAAATATCGAATAACTGAATAACTGACTTCCAATGACAATGGTTACATAATAATTTATCATTTGTAGTTAATTCGTAGACGACACAGCATATAATATTACCTTTGCGGAAATTGCCAGTTTTCCCTAATGATGATGCGCCCACGTCAATACACCACCTACCAATTTATATTTCAACATCGTCGGCAAGTAATGAGTTTATATTATAATCGAATCGAGTTCCAACTATTCTAAGATTATTATACATACGCATTGTCCATCCAAACAATAAAATCCACTAATCCGCTCCAATTGAATCTGATTTAAGCGCACTATTAAAATCTGAATATGTTCTAGTTAAATGTAGGTACATACTCGTATTTTTAGTATATGTAGTTTTAACGTAACAATCTGTAAACATGTAACCTACCGCCATAGCCTAAAGGCTATATACATAAAATATAGTCAGCGATTAGATAAAAATTACGTATACGAGCCACTATAACACATGACGCAAATTAATCGTTATGTCTTTAGAGATTTTATACACTGTACGGGCGTGTGATATGCATCGCATGTACCGTTTCATATTTAGTTAAAACATTTTTATTAAAATTATTTCATAAAAGGTAAGCCAGGTGTATCTATAAAAAATAATATTAATACTAAAACTGCTAAACTGCAATGATATATATTACAATATCCCTGTCTTAAAACTAAGTGCAATAAAATTATAACTATACATAAACTGTATAAATACAACTTTATATAAAAGCGATCAACAAATTCAAAAACTCGAAAAACATAGGTAAATGGAAATTAAATTAGAAATGTTTTCCAAATATTTGTAAGTACATTTTTAAATACGTCAAAATATGAAATGATTACCTATAATAAAATATCAAACATAAACTTGTCAACTTGCACGTGTGAAGTAGGTAACAGAATTTTTTGCTCACACCTAAATAATTATGTTTATTGTATTGTGCGCCAACAAAACAACGGGAAATTTTCTCCGAAAAATATTTATGTTTACCAACCAAAAAAAAAATAATAAAATATTTAAATTACTAAAAATGCGTTTCGTTACATATAACTGCAGTACCTAAATGGTTTATGTATATAAACTTATAGTATTTAATTAAATAATAATAACAATAATAATAATATGAATAACAATAATTAATAAATACTAGTATCAATATGGCGTATGTTAGAACGATTTGAAGACTTATAGCTATACAAATATATCTGCATTTGAACACATAAGGAGGAGGGGAAAGCTTAGCACTTCAAATTTCTAAAAAAACGACTTTGTTCAAAATTTATTACTAAAAATATATCATTTAAAAAAAAAATATTATAAAGGACTTTTAGTCTATTTAATAAATTTGAGCTGTTTGTACATAAATATCTATATTATTAAATCTGTAACATAATACATACGAAATTTACATTATGATCATTAAAAAAAAAGATTAGTAATATACTCGTACCATTATTAATGCAACTACAAAACAATTTGGAAAACCAATTATTAAGGCGATATGACGGTATCTAATTATCAACTGGACCAACGTCTAACATGGCAGAGATTCAGAATCGGATTTAAATATTACACTGAACATTTAAATTTTTTCCAAGATGACCAAAATAAACTTTTTACCATAATAACTTATGAGTCATAAGTAATGGTGCTTAATGAATAGTTTTTAAACGTGTGAAAGTGTATGAAAAATGTTAATTGCAATATATTATAAATTTTGATTAAATAAACGTCTTTTTTTTTCTACAATTTATAAAATATAGTTGATAAACACTTCTAGTAAATGTTTCACATAATATGAAAATTAATAGTAATTTATTAAATCCAACATTAGTTTTATATTAAATTAAAGAAAAGCTTGATACAGTGATTTTTATCTAATGTAGTTATTTGGTATTTTTTTCTGAATTAAATGTTTTCTTCTAAGTACGATAAAATATCAAAAAGCGTTAAACAAATGATATATATCTTTGACATAGTAATACAATATTAAGTATCACGGAAACATGTGAAAAGATAACAGGCACGTATGTTGATAATCATGTATTAAAATACACTGCATGGGAAATAATAGTAGAAAATATTATTATTATTTTGCATGACGTTCTCTTATACCTACGTCCGAATAATCATCATATTATTATAATATTCATCTTATCACACATTATTAATAGATACGTGCCATTTTAAGGCATCGATATAATATGCATATCACATTGTTATACTCCCGTGCGTGCGATACGTATTATAATATATTACAATATTTACATTATACACGGATTGAACGCAAGTTTATATCGTAGGTATCGAAACGCTGTCAGATTACGTCTCAACCGTGGTATAATAATGATCATAATCCACAACGTTTGTACACTACTGACATCCTTCACGAACCAAAGATTCTGTAACGCACCGTGTAGCACACCGGACGTACGGTCCATTATTGTTATGACGTTATTGTAGATACTAGATAAATACCACTTGTCGGACATGTAGTGTTTCTAACATTTAAATTCGCAGCAGATTTTTTTTAATTCCCAGCGGCGCGAATATTATTATGTATATAACGTCATAATGTAACTCCGGCAATGACACGTTTTGATTTTTTTTTTTATTTATAAAATTATGTAGGCATAAACAGCATTTGTTTAAACAATAAATCTCGCGAAATTATTTTGTATTTCTATTCTAAATGTTATGCCGATATTTTATTATCCACTCCGATTGATACCATGGCAAAAGCGGTAATCGAGAGGCGACTCTTTCTCTTGTTTTTTAGAGGGTGGTGTTTGGGAAAGCGGGTAACAGCCAATGAAGGTATAATCATGTAATATTAACTAATATTTTAGTATTTACTGTGACAGATAGTTAAAAATATAACAGTAACTGACTTTAATGGTTAATTATGGGTCGGTAGAGGGAAGCGTGAAATTCAAAGATTTACCTCTAAAAATGTCAAGTTCACGATGTAATCGACTCCAATAATCGAAAATATGAATGCTTATGACAATAATAATTAAGACTATAGTGGTTCAAAATTTGATTTTTATAAACGGGAATTCACATAAAAATACTTTATTACTTCCGAATAATAAATTGAAATGTCTATTACATAAAAAAAAAAAAGTTTATCAAAAACACATAAATGGTCTGGAAAAATGTCCTGTTAGGTTATTGAATTATTGTCCTGTGTAATAAACGGTGGTCATATAAGCATGGTACAGTAATGAATATAATATTATGTATACATATAAATAAATTTAGTAGTTACAAATGAAATGGTGTCTTAAAAACCGTCTACCGAACGAAACACACGCCCGTTTCGAGTCGCTTACAAAATATATAATATACAATATACATCATATAATCTCTTTCAATTTTGCTGTGTTTAATTTCTACCTTTCTTTCTGTATGTGTGTTCGGGCAAAATGCCATTAAATTGATTAAATCCGATGTCACGTATTAAACAGTACTCGACTCTCGATCGGTAACAAACTTTTTTCTGTTATTTATTTTAGGAAACGCGACGCGTACGGTAGGTACATACCTTACTTAAAAGATTATAAATTTATGTCTATGCGCTCAAAAAAATCACGGTCTGCTGATTCGTTCTTTTAAATCTTATATAAATGTAGGTATATACGAGTATACGGGCAGTTTGTGTTGTCACAAGCTCTAGGTCACTCGCATTTAACGACGAATATTTGACTAGTAATACAAATTCGAACTAAAACGGTAAAACATTATAGTACTGTAGAGGACATTTTGTGAAAAAATAGTTTCATCGTACACATCGCTTAACTAAGTGTTTGTATTACTCTACAAAGACGTTATATTTTATTTACACTAAACAATAAAGTGATAATTAATAGACAAAATAATATCATCATACAGATATTTTTAAAACGGAGATACTATCTACTTGACAAAACAATTTCCTGGCTTTTTATTCAACTCAACGGGCAATAGACATTATTACGTTTTTAATAGACTTAAATATACAATAATTATACTTATTTGATATACATATTTTTGTATTGTTATAAATTATAATGCATGTATTTGGAGGTATTTTAGTTGAAACGTTTTCTATAACATAAAACCCGCACAAATAAGTATTCGGAAAATTAATTTACGTTCAAATGTATATAAACGAGTATATTATTATCATTGTTAACAGACTACATTATAAACCGGACTCGTTCTGAAACAAATCCACCGAGGAAAGGATCAACTAATTTATACATATATATATATATACATTTATATATGGATATTATAATATAGCACGCATGTAAATATAGTAGACTATAAATCTATTATTACACCGTATATTAATCGTAATACCTACTACGGTCTCCGCTATACTAAGCATTCTTATAACGTTATAACATATATACGAAACGTTGAAAGTCCCGTTACATGAATAATTATAATCATATATTAAGTTATACTTAACGTAATACCACATTATGCGTGCCGAGTAAAATTTGTTTTCATGTCGCCCGCACTGCGTATAATAATATTTAAAATATAATTATAATGGTATGCTCTACACGGCCACTGAGTGGATAATAATATAACACTACTCTATAGTTCTATTCGGCTATAAAAAGAGGTCGTCGTAAAAGAATACTCACGCAGCGTTTTTTGATAGATGAAAACCACCTCTGTTGTTAATATGCTATACCTGAATGTCATGTAGAACCTAATCATTAGATATACCAAAAATTTCAATAATTTGGTGGCTAGGAGTAGTTATCAGTAGGTAGCGCGTATTTCCCAAAATATTTTTACGATAGTTATTTTAATATTCATTATTTTATTTGTAATGAGTTTTTATAAATGTATTATAAACTATAATATGTACGTTTAATTGGGTATTTGAATATTATTTACGGAAATTGTTATTTCACAAAAAGCATAATTTAATGTTGTACGCCATAAATTTGTTTGTAAGCTAAGAACTATAAAGAAACAGTATTATTATAGCTGACATTTTTTCGGGACTTGTGAGCAATCCCTAAAAAAAAATATATTGTTTATTGCTCCACACAGTTTTGTCCTCGATAAATCCACTGCGACATATAATATTATGTTATATTATAATTTATAACACATAGATACTGTATTATGAGATGAATATTTAAAATATTTCAACGCATTAAATATTGAATATTTTAGTAATACATATATATTATATGCTTATACGCGATAGTTTGTTGAATAGACTCGCAAATCGACATATTATTTTCCTAAAAAAAAAAAAGTATTTTCAGAAAAAAAGCACGCAACTTAGTCTGATACTAGGTACTCATAAATAATGCTATTATTATTAAAACCTCGTCACGCATGAGTGTCCCTAATGGGAAAAACAGGGAAATACGACATCAAAGGTCGCGGCGTCCACGGCGATGACTATAATAACAATAATCGATGGCGTTATTTGTTTTCTTTTTCCGCGACTGTCATAAATCTCGTCCCCTCAACGATGATTATGAAACATTAAATTATATTGCAAGTCTAGCAGTGAGCGTTAGAAAATTGCATTGACGACCTTCCGGCTCCCGTGGAACCAGGGACAGCTCTAGGTCTCGAAAGGCCGGTTGCAATGCAACTACTTATACTTGGGATCACTTAAAAAAATAAAACAATAATGCTTTAATCATATATACGCATACATATTTTTATTGTGTGCGAGTTTAATGGAAATCAAGACGAATTTCAAAATTAAAACATGTTTTCCTTTAAATCAAATCACGAATAAGAGTAAACCCGTGCATATAACAGACAACAGTTTAAATTAAACGGCTATTTTTCAATGTTTTCAGAAATTAAATTTAAAACAAATTCAGCCTCGAGACCCCGGTGTATAAAACTCCTCTCCAAACCATCAGTGGAACACACGTCCCCCCCTCCCCTCCGTGGTGGTGGTTGTAAAAATTAAAATTACGCTGAGGACAATTTTATCGCGAAAAACACTGCAGACACGACTTACCTGGCGACGTAACATCGTCGACGTCTAACGGCAGAGCTGCTGCTGACCAAACCATGGCCAATGCAAAAACGGCAAACGCGTAAAACATCGTTTTGGACGACATCGTAACGTTTCGTGTATTTTTCCAGTGGCGTTCACACGCAACACTCGCGCAGACAAGGCACACACACGATCGAAATATCGAAATCAGAATTATTACTGTCGATCTCTACGAATAATAATATACTGGCTAGGATCACTCGCAAGTCGCCGTTTGAATACACTCTGATGGGCACGGTCGCGTTCCAGATTGGCTTTATAGATATTATACATCCTATCCCCACCTAACCCGTCATAGATTCCGACACGGCTACCGCCACCGCCGGCACTTCCTCCACCACCACCTCCAACACCACAACCACCACTTTTGTAAACATCACCACAGCCGTGACGTTTGTTATTAATAATAATAATAATTATTATTATTATTATTATTATTATTGTTGTTGTTGTTGTTTTCGACCGCTACTATACGGTCTTTCGCGTATGGTTCTAGAAATTTCGACGATCGTTCGGCGTGACACGATAATAACGATTACATTGTTGGTTATAGACTATAGTTATAATTATTATGTAGTGTTAACTAACTGATGCCTAAAATCAAACGACCAAAACAAAACACGATAATTATCTTTAAATAATTTAATTAGTTAACAAATATAACCATTATTATTGTAATGTTATTATATATTCAAATTCCAAACCGATGATCTAATAATGCGCGGTAAAAGCGGTGGGACGAAACATACCACCAGATTTTCCCAACTAACGTGCGTTCAAAAATCAAAGTAAAAGCGAAAAAAAAATGTATTTTTTGATCCAAAACTCAAAAGGTTACTCAACTCGGTAATTTATATTGGTGAAATAGTAGTGTTTATATGTATATGTCTGTGTGTATGGAATGCGAATTATTTTTGTAACACGATACATATATTTAATAATAACAATATAAATTATCATGTATAGTAATAGTGATTTTAACTAGTAAATTAAATTTTTCTTTAAAGTATTTGGATATTTATCATGTACCAATTAATTGTTCTGAAATTGTGCTCTTTTTAAATATACATTTTAATTAAATGAAAGATATTTTTCTGTTTGGAGTTTCTTATTTAAATAGAATTTTTCTAACTCTCAATGATTTATAAAAAATTTAACTTGGTTGCATATTTTTCAAATTATTTAGTAGTTTTCTATAGTAAACTAAATGAAAAACTATTAAATAGTGTCAAAAGTTTGAGAGAATGAAAAAGTTTAAGAAATTTTAACCATGCTTCGTTCAAAAGCCAGTTTATACTTTATAATTTATACTTATGAGAAAAATAAATGGTAAACTTTCAGAATTTCATCAACACCAGTAAATTTATATAATTATAAAAGTGTTTGTATTATTAGATTATTGAAAAATTGTTTACATGAGTTCTCTTATACTCAGTTCACTCAGTTCACTCAGTTTTATCAAACTCTTCATCGAAATTCTATACCAATATAGTATAACATTTCAAAATTATTTTCGTACATTCCACGTTTTTACAATAGCAATATTACATCAACTCAGGAGGCAGTGTAATGGATAGGGTACCAAAAAGTATATAATCGTACAAGGCTAGACTCATTAAATAGTCATTAACCACTCAAAATCAAATGTCTACAAAGCGTACACCATAGTATTTACAGGAATATAACATCATTACATTGTATTATTTTTTATAAAGTAATTTATGGTTTCCATTAAAACATGAATAGTTCTTAATATGATGTAAACTAAATGAATATCTAGATTTAAATCAAGAGAGCATCTTCAAATTTTAAATTTTAATAGGTTACATAAATCATTAACAAATTAATTAAGTTACTATAATATTATAATAATAATTAGTTTTATGTAAGGTACTTATCAGATTTTAACCAAGTAACCATACGTATTAAAACCATGTATGTTATAAATAATAATTATTTAATGAATAATATTAATTAACAATTAGGTAATTAATTAGATTAAAAAAACTGCAAGTTCATAAAAAAAATATGGTGCTCACTTCTCAGATACTTAAAATATTCTATAAATAAATATATTACATATATATTTCTTATATACACATATTGTCAGTACTTAAAAAGGTCCAATAGTATCCACGTATGATCTATGAACGTGTCAAATCATATATACACCAATATATTTTTTAGTTTATTTTAATCATTTTCAATAAACTATGTTACATTATATAATAGTATCTCAACATAGTTTATGATTTAAATACATAATATATTATGAAGCGCTCACCACATAATAAAAAAATATCCAACTCTATACGGTTGAAACGGCATGTTAAACGCGCTAAACATATGAGAAAATTACTTTTTATCTAAGTCAACCGTCAAATTACATCTAGAAATGTATAATACTGAATATTATATTCATTATAACTATAATAAAATAATATTTTATATGTATTATAGACTTAATTGTTATTGTATTATTATTTATACTACAATAATATTATCAAAAGCAAATTGAAATATTTTATTATGTATTTATAATGCAGTGCAAAAACTTAAATGTGAGAATTTTTTATTTCGTCTATATCGAATATACATAACTGTACAATATATAGAGAATGTTTTGTTCAATAAAAACATTAAAACGTAAAACTATTAAAATAGTTATGTAAAATATAAGGTACCTATATGTACAATGTATTATAAAAAACATATTTTGAAGAAATATTTCTGATCAAATAATGTCCCGAGATAAGCTAAATACTAGAATAATATTTATCTTTGAATCAAATCTCTAATAGTATTTTGAAAATACTCGTAGAGTAGAATATAAACATACGTTCACCGTGTCATAAAAGAAGACATCATTAAATGTATTCTATCGAGACGATCAGAATATTTTTAATTTTATATTAAATTATTCATTTGTACCGTTACTTAAATTAACAATTTATTAATGAGTGGAAGAAATGTATTGGTTTATTTGGCCCTACACTTTTATGTGTTATGATGTTTATTATACATTAAACAGTAAATTTTATAATGTAATAAACCTGATTTGGTTGCACTCGTCCTACGTATACATTATTATCTCACCTAATCGAAATGGGTTGTAGACTGTAGTGCTTACAACAAATGTGATATCATAATGTATAATTATTTTATAGCGCGATTACTAACAATATTATCAGCATTGTAAAAAATCAGCCCTATGACGGTTCATTATATCAGTTTTATCAAAAAAATATAATTCACAAGTCTCAAAAATCATAATATTGTTAAAAAGAAAAATAATTTTAAACTAAAGTATTTTTTTTTTTAAATGTATGTTATATTATAATACTGAGATTTTTATATTATGTTACGACGTTACAAATTATTATATAACATAATATATATTTTATTTAATTAATGATATTTGTTTTTGTCAATAATTGTGGCAAAACAAATTACTTTAAATGTAATTACTTATTACACATACCGTCAAATTAAAAGAAATTTAAATAATTTTTTTTTTTAATTTAAAAATTAAGTCTTAAACTTAATATGTAAGTAGTATGTATGCATTCAAGTACGGTGTAGGTAATAATATTGCACAGCGTGTACCCAAGAGCTATTGTCGAGTGGTACTATTATTAATACTAATGAAACAATGAGAACGCAGTCGTAAGTGAATTTAAATGTTATTAACGGCAATCGAGTACAGTCTTCTTCGAAGCAAATCCAAATGAAACAAAATTGTCTGCACAATAATGATTTTATTATTTATGACATAATTTATTGTTTTGTTCACACAATATCATCTCCGACCACAGAAGGAATAGAAAACAAAAACGACACTAATTATTTAAAAAAAAAATATGATGTAATAATATTAAACAACCCAATAAGACAATTTTAAAGTATCTTTTTGGAAATCAAAAAATATCTATCTATAACGACTACTCATAGCCTATAAAATGTTCCGACTTTCATTATTTTTAAATCGTAAAAATAAAAATATATCATATTATATATACTAATAATATAATATCTATGCAATTATTTTGCGTTTCAATCTTCAATATTCTTAATTTTATCAATTTATATAATTTACATAATCATTGTACTTGCATTATAGATATACGTACTTAATTGCATAAAAAAAATATCCTCAAAATTCAAATAAAAAATCGAAGGAATGATGGTGCATATTCCGTACAATTTTTAAATAAGAAGTAAAAATCTTAACACAATTATCTTGTAGACTTTTAAATTTAAATTTCTCATATTTAATAAAATTAATATTGGCTCTTTTATTTAATAATACAAACAATAGTTTTATTTGCATTTTCCTATTATAAATTAAATAGATATAGATAAAGAAATATGATTAAAAAAACACTGAAAATATCGTAAAGGTTATTTTGAAACTTAAATTCTGTTGACACAATTTTAAACTAAATAGAAAGATTTCTATACTTATTAAATATTCTTAATACGATTTTCAACTTACTCAAACTTCTCAATTAATAATTGATAATTTTATAGTGACATATAGTTATATATGTCATATAGACATATAGTTTCCTATTCGAAAAATTGGTTGTACAAATTTTAATGCGATAATAGAAGAGAATCCAAATATTTATTTAGGTGCGAATAGCGAGTATGAAGAGTAATTAACTAAAAAGTTAATGACCGTATTAAAATTTAAAAATACATATTGTGAAATACGTAAGAGGATATATTTTTAAAATCTTGATAAAAAGAATGATGTAAAAACTATGAACACATAACTATAACATAATATTATAATATTATAGTTAAAAATATATAATATAGGAATTTAATAATTAAAATTCGTTAAAAATTATGTTTAGTGTTATATAAAATAAATTTATAATTCACGTTAAACATTCAAAAATTAATGATAATTTTCACAAGATAACTGCAGTAAGTATTCTTTCTTTATTTTATTTTTCAGAATAATTTATTTAGGATTCTTTAATATTAAAACATACAATGTACATTAGTAGATGTATCTATATATAATAATATACGAGATTTCCTTAGGCTTTAATAAATTGTAGGATGTAGATCAAAGAGAATAACACGTATCTACCTTATTATAAATATTTCGGAATCCTTAAACTTTGATATTATAGTGAAATTTTAAAATTGATTAAATTCATTTTTATACTTTATACAAAATATAAGATATGTATTATTAACTATACCTTAAATCTTATTATT